TTCCATTTCTCGAGCTTCCTTTAAACTGGACATCGTCAAGATCGAGAGCACGCCAAGGATGTGTTTACATTTTCACGGTCGACCGACAACGTCTGTAAATTAGCGTAATTGTTTTGCTTAACGCAGTCATGTCACAAACTCTGTTGGCGACAACGTCGTTCCCAGGTTCCCCCTCCTGCAAACGATCGAACGTCCGTGACACCCAAAGTCATCGATGCTTAAGGTCCCTATTATCGTCTTCACGAGTCTTCGCGCTCGGTTTCTCGCCGCCATGAATTGACGTGGAAACGAGGCGGCAGTTTTCAATCCCATAATTTCAACGCGTCGCATCCACTGACACGAGGACAACCTAGCATCATGGCAGCAAAAATGGACAAAGTCGACATGTCTTTAGACGATATCATCAAACAGAACAAGAAAACCGTAAGAGGAGGAAGAAGAGGACGCGGAGGAAGAGGGAGAGGGAGAGGTGGACCATTAAGAAGCGGTAGAGGACGCGGAGTAACCAAGAATAGACCGACGCCATATTCAAGAGTGAGTGATACAACGTTTTTTCGAATTTCTGTCCTTTCGACATTTTAGATATGACTGTTGCTAACTTGTTTTCCCTCTCTAGCCCAAACAGTTACCAGACCGATGGCAGCATGACCTTTTTGATGGCGATAGCGGTTTCAGAGGAGGAAGAAACCGTGGCGGTGGTATCTCAACCGGCTGCAAACTTCACATTTCAAACTTGGATTTTGGTGTTTCAGATTCGGATATTCAGGTATTTAATGGTATTTGTATTCCACTCTTTTAGACCAAAGATAGATAAGGCGATATATACTTGAGTGATGAACCTAGTCGAGAATGATTCTTCCAAATTGACGTGAAGAAAAGAAGATCAAACATCAATATGCAAAATTGAATTCGTACCACCATCTGTTTTTTCAACACACCACTTTAGGCAACTCATATAAAATGCCAAAGGAAAAGAAAGTCGTGAGTACATAATTGCCCCCAAACTCTCTGGTCTAGACTACTCAAAGGTTTTGCGAAATGACGACTTTTTTGGTAAACTTAGAAATGTGGTTTGTTTTTCCTGTCAATATCACTCTGTATGCCCCTTTGATTGTTGGATTGCCAATCTTACCAATTTCAAATCAGAAAAAAATTTCCATGTGGCTGATTGTTAATTAAGGGCCCCGGCCACACTAATCCATTTTCAAATGAAAATGGAGCTGTTTTGCTCAGGATACGGCCATCGTCCACACTACAACGCCGAAAATGATCGCCGAAAATGGAGACGTTCAAAAACACTCTCCAGAGTGGAGCGATTTGAAAACGATACTCTTTGAAAATGCTGTTTTCCAGTGTGGATGGAGAAAACGATGCTTTCTGAAAACGGTGATGTCCTCAAAATAGACATGACCTGGTGCCAGACCACTAGAGCGTGAGTATCCAAAATGGTGGACAGACGCTACCATGTGGCTTCTCTCTTGATCAGAATGATTTCCAGTCTTTTGATGCTCTTGCAAGCGAATTTAACCCAGCTGAGACGTCACTTAGATTTTACAAGAAGGGAACAAGATATTTTAAAGCTTCTGACCTTGCCAGCTTCAGGAAAAACAAAGATAAAACAACTCTCTGAAAGCCCACCAAAACCTTGAAGGTTTTGGGCAAGACCTGGACGAACTTTGGTATGGTGGGACAACTTTGTTGCTAGAAAAGTAGTGGAGGAAGAGTGGAGGGAGAATTTCTGCATGGGGAAAACCTCTCTCTATGCTCTTGGTGTCAACTGAGGCCATACGTCGAGGGAGAGGAAACAAGAATGAGGTCCCTGATTGATGTGGTAAAGAAAGTGGCTATATGACGGTATTCCTTGCCTAAAGCAGTCGCATTTTCACTGTTAGGATACTCTGCTTGAAATATATCCAAGATGTTGCCCTACTCCCACTGGACTGACTCCCAGTCTACACTCTCGGTGCTATTTTGCACTTTTTATTCATTTGTGACTTCCAGAAGTAGCTTGACTTCATGATCAGTCCATGTGAAACAGTCTGTTTTAGGTTTTGGTTGCTTTCCAGCTGTTCTTAGCATCATTTAGAAGGAAATTATCAAAGAATTCTAAACCACAACAACACTAGACAACAAAGAAACAAGAATGGCGCCAATTTTGCGGGCCAATATATTGAAATGCACATGCGTTAAGTTCATTTGAGCATGTGCACTGAGGGTATAAAGACGTTTTCAAAACGGATACGGCGTTGTAGTGTGGATGGAGGAAAACGATACAAAAATGACAAGTGTGGATGCAAATCGTTTTGAAAATAGAGCAAAACAGCTCCATTTTCGTTTGAAAACGGATTGGTGTGGATGGGGCCTAAATGTTTGTTAGTGACTCTTGCTAATGAAAAACACACTTAAATGATTTTACTTAATTATACATAAATTTTTGTATGTTTGATTTGTAGGAATTGTTCAGTGAATTTGGAGATTTGAAGAAGGCCACAGTCCATTATGATGCCTCTGGTCGATCTTTAGGCACAGCTGAGGTTATTTTTCAACGACGAGATGATGCACAGCGTGCCATGAAACAGTATAATGGAGTTCCTCTTGATGGTAAAATATTTTTAATTTTAATTCATTGAGGCTGGTCAGCAAATCTTGGCTGGTAAGACCTCATCGTGCAGCCTTCAGTGACGACTTGGCCATTGAATGGGTTTGGTTACTGTTAAGGCTCATTCTTTACAACACATCAAAAGCTGCTCTACTTCAGATGTGCCTCAGCATGCCTCTCCAGGTGTCAAAACATGGCCTTGGGTTCATAGTTTCATTCTGGAGCCATCTTGACCCAGCTACAGCTGTAGCTTGCAATGGAGCCATTCTGTGTTTTTCTGGTAATACTGAACATGATGTCTTCCTTGCTGCTTTGTTTGCTGCTGAATATTTTAATCCTTTAGCTCCTATAAGTGACCGAGATAGAATTTCTCCTTGCATAATGAATACAATATCAGGGAGACAAGTCATGAGAATCAAGAAGAATGTCAATTAGGGAATTTATTTGACCCAGTACCAAATCCTCTGAACTAAAATCATTGGAATTTTATAGCAGACAATAAGGAGAATTGCTACTGAGATAGTGAAAGTGAAAAGGGTTAACTTAAGGTAGTCTTGCAAGGAGCCATACATTTTCTGTTGTCAAGCATTCTTAGTGTTCATGTAGTAAAGTGATGTGGTTTCAATTTTTTGAAAGAGTACGGTGCATTGCTAACATTTTTGTTTTTTTGTAATGAGTACTTATCTTGATGTGAAACGAGATGTGTGGCTTTTTCTGCTTCTTGTTACAATGTAAAACATGGTTGGCTACTTGTAACATTTTTCTCATAAAAATATTGTTCTGAGGTATGATGTAGATTTTAAAATGTCACCCTTTTGAGTGAGCAGACTGGTGTTTTACTGGAATGAAAAAAAAATGTTAAGCATTAGAATGAAATATTTATTTTCTTTTTAAACTTGGTAGAAATTATATGGAGTCTCTGCTATGAGAGATGATGCACTCCTTAAACTTATTTTCATAGAATATGAAACTGTAAAGTGCTCTTAGATTTTTTGCCTTTATGTTGTAAAAATCCAACATACAGCTGGCAAAATGTTTGGAATTGTGTGCAAATGAATGGGGTGGCTGGTAGTTATTATGGAAGCGGGGCTGTTTTTATTCAACTGAATCATCTGATGTTATTTGATAAATAATTGATATGAATTTATATCATATTTTACACTTTTGGTCTTGCATTTCAAGTCTTGCATTACTTTTGTATTGTAGGAAGGGAAATGATAATTGAGTTGGTGTCTGGTTCATCAAATGTTGGTGGTGGTGGTGGTGGTTTCCAAGGACTAGGGCAAAGGTATTGAATCATGAAATTGTGACCTGTTCTTGCTTTCTTGAATTTTGCAAAATTCTTATCAGAATTATGACTGATGTAGCCAAAAGATTAATCAATTATATATGTAATTGTTTTCATATACAGAAGGCGCCAACAGTTCAATCAAAGCAGAGGGGGTAACAGTAGAAGAGGCAGAGGACGAGGTAGAGGAAGGGGAGGAAGAGGAGGTGGCCCTCAAAAAGCTAATGTTACAGCAGAAGATCTTGATGCTGAACTGGATGCTTATCATGAAGAGGTTTTATTATTTCCCTTGATTTTTCTGTTTTGTTCATTTCTCCTAGATATCATTTTATTGTGAAAGGTGTTAAGGCACCATGTGAAGCTTGAGTGTTTTTTTTTTTTTTTTTTTTTTTTTTTCAAAGCTGCTAACTTAAATATGTACATTGTGATCTGTCTTGTTTAAACAATGTGGTGAAATAGTATTTTTGAGGGAAAACTAAAGTACTTTTGTTCTTTGACTTGTAGGGAGACGTAGACATGGATGATGAATAAACAAGCTTTCATCTCCCTTAAGCATGGATACATACTTTGGAAACCAGACCTAGAACACAGATGTTAGAGATTAAGCTACTGAATATTTGCTAATCAACATTTTTTGACATATATGGCAATTTCAAATTGCTTTTCCATTAGAGGAATTGTCGATGCAAATTTTGAATTTTCCAGAATTGTTCTTGGTTAATTGGATATATATAGATGTTAATGAAAACTATGCATTCAACAAAGCCAAATTAATAGTCTGCATATCTCTTAAACTATTTTCTTTCAGGTATATTTATGTTTTTTGTCACATGTTCACTTATCTGCAATATGATTTATTGACACTTCAGGTAGTGAAGCATGTCAGTGCTTATGTATTACTGTTAAATAAGAAATTTTTTTTTGTTCTCTAAGACAGTAGTTGATCAGGGTACCTTAAGTTTCCTCAATTTTGTTTCACTATTCATTTACTAAGGTTTTAATGTGCCTAAGTTATACATTTGCCAAAACAGTTTTTTAACCTTGTTAAATAAATATAGATATTTGTTTGATTGCTTTTCAATTATAATTTGTCACACCAGTAGAGCATTGTGAAATTTTGTCTTGTGTACATGACATGGAAAAAGAGAGCTGATAAGTGGGGCACTGAAGTGAATACAATGAAAATGTTATTCAACCCGACCATGATATGGATTTGTTTAAACTAATGTTTCTGATCCAACTGTTCATAACTTGCCCAACTTAACTACTAACATAGTGGTTTATGTGAGCTTATTCTAGCCAGCATTTTAAGTGTGAGAGGTTGCCTTGTGAAAGATAATTTTTTATTTTTCAACCAGTAACTTGTCAAAGGGGAAAGATTTTAATGATCAGATCATTGAAGTTCTATTGCATCAAATCTCTTGTGATGTGTTAGTTATTCATTAAGATAATTTGCATACTTTCTCAGAGGATGAGAATTTGAGATGTGAAATAAAGTGTTGTTTGTAGAAAATTTTCTCAGCAGTTGAGTAACTGTATTTGCTTGCAAAACTGTAAATAACCCTCTATGTCTGAGGATGTTGATGGACTTCTTGCTCTTGGATTTTAAGTGCATTGTCCTCTCATTTGCTGCACCAATCAAATTAATTTGAACAGCACCAAAGTTTATGCTAAAGAACAGTTGTTGCCATGGATACCTCAAGATCAAGAGTCCTCTAGGATGGGACTAGTGGTTCCATGCATTGAGATCTGCTTGCTGCAGTGGTCATTTCTGCACAAGGTGCTACCCTACTTGTGTGACAGCTTTGTCATTAATGCAGGACTTCATGCTGATAGCCTGACTTTGAATTATATGCTGTGGTTTAACTTTGACCTTTTACATCATAAGCTTGGCATGCATATTCCCTGCACCTTTTTCTATACGTTTCCTAAGGTACTGACAGGAAGAATTTGTTAAACAACCTAGAGCTTCCTAAGTTGTTGGTCATTTCCTTTACTCTATTTAGGGTCAAAGGGATTTAAAATATCTCAAATTTGTGACGATTTTTGGTCCAGAGACGCCCAGAGACAGATGTCCGAGAAGACCCTGGGTTTGAGTTTGCCCGTGAAACTGCATGATCAGCGGTATTCCCTCTGATGTAATCTCAAATTTTCCTTTCATTCAAAATGGCTCCAAAATACAAAAGTTATGAGTTCTGGAAACACGTTCTTCAGTCGCCTAAATATATAGTGGCTCCAATGGTTGATCAGTCTGAACTGCCATGGCGACTGCTGAGCCGGAGATATGGCGCACAGCTGTGTTACACACCAATGATTCACGCTGGTCTATTTGTGAAAGACGCGTTTTACAGAAGGGAATCTTTTCAGACTTGTGAGGAAGACAGACCTTTAATTGTTCAGGTACAACTATCTCTGCTGATTTATGATCGATGGTCCTTAATTCTAAAGTTGTAGCTAGTCACAGATCCATGCATGTTATGTTTCTCCGCCAGCTAAGAAATTGCATCACATTATGTGATGCAATGTTTGCAGATTGGGATCAGCTGTCCAACTGACATGATTATGAAACAGGAGCTGTTTCACCCAATTCATTGAAATTTTCAAGATCTTCTATGGGAGAATGTAGAATGCAGTGATTGACAATGGGTCGTATTGAAATAGATTGTTGTTTTACACAACTTAACGCGGATATTTACAGACACGAGTCAGCTGTTACGATGTATTTTTTTGTATTTATTGTAGTTTTGTGCGAATGATCCAGAAATTTTCCTTCAAGCTGCGAAGCTAGTAGAACCTTACTGTGATGGGGTTGACCTGAACCTTGGCTGTCCACAAATAATAGCAAGAAGAGGTATATATATATATGTAGGAACTGGCTGTACACTGCTGATATTGGCATTTCTTTCTGCCATTTAAATTCGAGATGAAGTAAAGGTTTTTTGTTGTTGTTGTTGTAGTTTAAAGTGAACAGATCAAGAGTGGAAAGTCGGGCTTAAACTGATTGTTGGTTGTCTTGCTATCATAAGTTTGGAAACTTTTCAAGAAGTCTTAAATGTTGTAAAAGCTTGACTCAAATAACTTATATATGAAAATAAAATGAACTTTTCTGTGTTTGTTTAAATCTTTTAGGTTGCTATGGGGCATTTTTACAAGATAAATGGGAATTGATAGCATCCATGGGTAAGGTTTTGACACCGTGTCTTTGGTTCTGATGAAATATCATCTTTACTTCCTTTGTGCAAATTTGAGTCTGGATTGAATATAGGATTACTTTTTGGCTGAGTTGTCTTCACAGTTTTGTGTGCTACAGTTGAACCCTGATTATCTGAACCTTGATTAAGTGGATTTCTCGATTATCCAGAGTTTTTCTCTGGTCCCAATTTTTTCATGAATGTTTATCAGTCATGATGAAGATCCATAGCCATATTCTTTTTAAAACTACAGCTTTGAAAAGTGAAGGAAGGGCGAGTTTGTTTTGCTTTCAAAGAGCAAAAGCAGGGTTCACAGGTGTCGTAACTAATGAAGAACATTTGATTGAGCTCTGATTGGCTTAGAGTTTCTTCGTTGCTAAGTGAGATTTCATGCTCTATTTGAACTGTTTTTATTCCTCATTAATACTCATTTTCTATCTAGATCCTTGATTATCCAGACTATTTGGTCTAGTCCCAACAAGTTCAGATAATCGAGGTTTGACTGTATTATGGTTCCGATGAAAGTTAATTTTTTATCAGGGTAGAAAAGGGGATAAGGGAAATTAAATGGATCTAGATAGATAGACTGGTTTATTAAAATCACATCGCAGTAAAATACTGAATTGCACAATTTTTACAAGCTACTACCATACAAATATAAAATATGATGACTTAAAGTTCTATTAAAAGTTCTATTACGTCTCAACTTGGGTTGGTTACAGCCAGACCCTTCACGAAAAACGAATTAGCAAAATGCTTTGTCTTGGCTGCTGGTACATTGTATGTTCATTGGCACCTTAATTATAATGAGGGCTATGGGCTTCAGGAATTAAGTAATGTAGTTTACTGTTCTGATTCTCGCTGATTGATCTAAATAAAGACTTTGTAATGTCTTCGTGATGTTCCCTGACAGAAGTCAAACAGGCGCGCTCTAACGCTTCCCCATACGGCATTCTAGGAAAAATACACGCCAGAGCTCTTTTCTGAACTCTTTCTAACTCTGACTGTAAGCACTGAGGTAGAGAATAATGGAACACAGGGCAAGCGTAGTCAAGGGAGGATCTAATACATGTGCAGTAGTAGGCAACAAGATCTTTGGCTGGAACACATGCACGTTTAAGTTGCACAAGGAAATAAATTTTCCTAGCTGCTTTCTTAACTAAACTATCTACATGATTGTTCCATGTCAGTGTGTTGTTGATGGTAAGGCCAAGAAACTTGCTAGAAGTAGTTGCTTGGATCTGAGTCCCATCAACTATAACTGGGTCGAAATGTTCCGGGGGACGACAGAAAATGATAGTAAGCTCTTTAGTCTTCTCAAGGTTTAGCATTTAAGCATTTAATCTAGATAACAGGGACAATTACCGTAGAGAGTCCAAATGTCAGCTACCAGTATTTATCATATCTCATAGTTTCTTCTGTGAAAATAGCAGTACATGTATGTATCTGTGGTTCTGTTTTCAGTAGAAAATATTCCTTAGTGTTATTGTTTGATTTTAGATATACAGAATGTCTCAGGTTTTTAAAAGTGTGTTGCATGTGTTATGTGCGAATTGTACCTCTCTTTTCAGTGAGCCTACTCAATGAGAAGCTTTCAATCCCAATAACTTGCAAAATCCGTGTGTTTGATGATTTGGATAAAACTTTAGAATATGCAAAAATGTTAGAGAAAGCAGGCTGTCAGGTAATGTTCAAACATTATTCTCAAAAGTTCTGTATGCAAGCAGTGCTTGACTTTTAAAAAGGCATTTCTCTGAGCTGGAAGGACCGACAGGGTTTGAATAATCTTCATCAACCATCAGCATGCCTGCTTTAGAAGAGAACAGAACCCATCTGACATAATAACCAGTCTTTCCTAACTTAAGTTGACATCAACACATTTTATCATAATTATGATATTCTATCTTCCACTTTGCAGCAGTCTTGTTAAATTACTTTCAGTGAAAGGTATCCCATGTATTTCTGGGTGTATTTTGAACTGCAGATTACATATTGATTGGTTTAGAATTCATTTGTTTAGGCTGCAAAATACAAACTGAACTTTCCCAATCTTGTCTTTAATTGATTTTAGACTTTAGAGTAGACTCCTGTCAATCCCTGTAGAACTCAATCTGTAAACTGCCACAGCCTGCATTGTAGACTACAAATTACAGACCTGTATCAAGAGGAGTGGCATATTGTAATTTGACACAATGTTAACTACATAATATCAACTTGTATGAATTGTAGCTGCTAACAGTTCATGGCCGCACAAGAGAACAGAAGGGACCTAAGACTGGTCTTGCCAACTGGGATGTTATTAAAGCAGTAAAGTTAGTAGAAATGTCTTTGTGTTTTTGTCTCTAATACTTTCAACACTCTAGTATTTCACAGCATAATTCAAACTTTATGGTGGAAAACAAAACTCTCTCCCAAAACTTTGAAAACAGACTTCATATCTCTCATTTATTAACAAAAATTCTGATTTTGATTGATAGAGAAACTGTTTCAATCCCTGTGTTTGCCAATGGAAATATGCGCTATTTGCAAGACGTGGAGAAGTGCATGGAGTGTACAGGGGTAGATGGTGTAATGACAGCAGGTTGGATTATTTTGTTGTGGCTTTGAAAAATGGATTTCAAAAATGTTAGTTTACTTTATGGTTATGAAATAAAGTGATGATGTATGACCATGGTCTCTTTATTAACTCCACTGACCAAAACTTTCATTGACTTTTAGACATTTTTAATCAATAGTAAATTATATCAGTGTCGGGTAATGTTGCTCTGATGTTTTAATATCTACTTTTATCATGAAAGTTGATTTAGGAGGTTTAGTTTGTGTGCTACTGCATTTTTTTTGTGCATGGTGGATGTTACTTTCATTTAAAACTAAGAATTCTTCAGTTTAAAACATACCTGTGTAAGGTACTATAACAATTGTGTTAGTTTTTGTTTTCTTTTGTTTTGGTAATAATTATTTTAAGTATGTTTAGTGGATTCAAAGGGTTAGTATGCCTTTGATTTTGATTCTAGAGGGTAATCTCAGCAATCCAGCACTCTATAGTGGTGAACACCCCCCAGTTTGGGATGTAACTGATGAGTACCTTGCACTTGTGGATAAACATCCCTGTCTGTTGTCTTACATCAGAGGTCATCTTTTTAGGATGTGGCGGATCATGTAAGTACAAGTTGTTTGTTGAAATTGCTAACAATGTTTTAAATAAGTTGTATGCTACCCTTGCTATAATGTTAAATATAAAGCCTGTGTAGAACTAGAGTCTACCTGAGGCATAGTGTCTCAAAAAATGCAAAACAGGCTTTAGTTTGACCCTGAGAGTAACTAACATATAATTTGTCAGTCCACTATTACCACTGAAACATCTATTAAGATCAGGAGAATAAATGAAGTTACCACAGCTCTTGCATCAGCCCGTGGGGAATGTATACAGAACAGTATGGAGAATATGCAAACTGATACCTTAACCTTAATCTACAAATTCCTCAACACCAGTATATGTTATTTTTCCCAGAATCCCTTCAACTTTAAAGACCCATTGAAACTAATTGGACAGTTTTTAACAAGGCTGTTTGATGTTTTTTTCAAGTAGCTTCAAATAACAATTAACAAATAATATTAATTATTGTTCAAAATTGTTTTATCATTTAAATAATATATTAGCAATGTACAAAGATTATCAGTGTTGTACAGTCTATCTCTAAAATAGGCGAGTAAATATGTGAGATGATATAATTTTAAAATGGTTCCCCTTGCTTGCCTTAAATGTTACATACACAATGTGCCATCTACTAGGTTAACTCCTAACATGAAGAACTGTACCTTAACTTCGGCCAATTTACAATTTCAAATTAGTTGATACAACAAAATTACCTCGTTACCCCCACTGACGCAGCACCACGGTTTCTTTAGAAACTTATTCCTTTATTTATATGCTAATATGCAATAAATTCTTGAGAAAATTTGGTTTTGCAATTTTCATTTCTTGTTTAGTTTCTCAAAAAATTTATTTTCTTCAATTTATATACCAATTACTGTGCATGTTTTGATAAAAAGCAGATAATGAGCAATATTCTTTTGTTTTATACACATGTTCATATCATAATGCTAACATCTTCGAGATAAACTTGGTTCTTCCCAAAAACGTTTAAAAAAAACTCCTGTAGTGTCACCTGTGCTTTGTAATGTGTTTTCAGTTGAGAGAACTTAGGATCTGCAGTGCTTAAATATCACTAGCTCATCAAAGGGGAAATTTTTTCCTCAATTAGTTATTTCAAAGAAACTTCAGATGTTTCAGTAAGAAGGATATTCTAAGACAGTTCAAGATATTTGAGATCAGAAAAGCTTTGATGTAATGAAACTATGCCATTTTTACTAATAAGGTCTGATAACTGTAGTTAAACTAAGATATCTAGCAAACAAAGCTATGCATGAAAGTCAAGTTTTCCTCTCTTGAAAAGTAATTCCTCCTAGATCAAGTGTTATGATAAAACTTCATAGAGTTACTTTGCATTTAATGAATTATTGCCTGTAGGCAAGGTGTTGCGACCACTAGCATCAAGTGAGCCCAGATGACAGGGCCTGTGTTGCACAGGTAGTGGTGACAGCAATCTACTTTGCAAGCCCATCCATAAAGTTTGCATTCTGTGTCACTGCAATAACTTGCAGTTGCACAGTGCTTTGTATACTGCAGAGAGAGAGTTCCGTTAATGTTTCCTTTGTTTATTTTCATTTTGACGCAAACATCGTCGTCTTTTGGGCAAGAGACTACTTTTGTGTCCTTTTCGCAGTCCTTCCATGAAGTTGTGGAATAACACATGTAGCATTTTAGACTTGGTACTTCAGTTGGACCTGTTTGAAAAAAGTTGTGGTTATTCAGATACTATGAAGTGTTGTCAAGCAAAGCCTATTTGACAACATTTTCTCCATAAACGAGGGGAGGTTGTTCTAGTTGGAATCTCCTCTCTTTCCATTTCCCCCTCCCCTTTTTTTGACTGATGCTCGCTGCCTTACAAGCGCTAGTTCAAACCGACATTAATGCTGACTTACACCTGCGCGCCGTTGGTTATCTAAACGCTTCCATCACCCCATTTGCTTTCTGAACACTCTTGCGAGAAGGATTTCAATAGACGCGTCACACGATAGCACATATAGAGGTAAATTAACAGGATCGTGTCGCCCTGCTAATGTACGTGGAATTCAAATAGAAATGCAGTCGATTATAACTACTTTGCTATCAGGGAACCTTCTCTGGATACAGAATCTTGAGCCCCTCGAGTTAATTATACCTTCCTTCCATTATTCAGAACGAAGAAAGATATCTAGTACTGGTAAGGTTGGCAAGCAGTTTTTAAAATCGTTCATGATAAGTGACAAAGTCATTTGTTTTTTCAGCTGCTTGAGTAACGCCGCGAATTTCAATCAATCGATTCAAAATTAATTTGTTTCGAGTAGGTATCAAGTCTTAAATTAGTAGAAAATCTGTTTTAAAAGCAAGATAGTCAGTTCCTTTACTACTTTGATAAAAAAAAATCAACTGTTATGTTTTAAAAGAAAGTGTTAATGTGTCAATTTCAGAAACACTTCGTTAATTCGAAATTGCACTTCGACAAACTCAATTGACATATGTTGTGGAAATTGACGGAAAACTCAATTAACTCAAAGCCGTTGTTTATGCTCGGTATAACAGCAGCTTTTAAGACGTGCTAAAACTTGAAAATGGTGTCATTGACTTTGTCTGATTTATTTGGATTTTTTAGAATACCTTATTTGCCTTTAAGCCTTTTTTTTACAAAATCTAACTGATCGTTTAATATTTCTTTTTCAAGTGATGAAAAACTTTAATGTAGACATGAAGACAAAGATGCTCTCCGTGAAACGGATGGAGACTTGGGCAAGAACGTGACCTTGTAAACGTCACACAATCGCCTGTTTACTCTCAGATTTCGACTTACTTCTCATTCTAATAACCTTCCTAGTTTTCTATTTCTGCCACGCGAAGTTTTTCCCTTTCGGAAAGTTTCCGTTAAACTTTTAATCTACTGGCGGAAAAGTCTGTCTGCTCGCGAACCCAAGATATACAAGCCGGTTTCGTTGACATTCGTGTAACATGCTTGGCAGAGTAATTTAATGCATTAATGCAAAATAGCAACAAACCACCTGAAATGAGCGATGTTTTCGCGTGAGGTGGCAGCGGAATGTCGGAAATAAAACACTTTAAACCATATCAGGAATCGACATTGAAGACTCTTAATTTGATTCAATTCAATAGGTAATTAAGTGTTATTGTTCTCAGCTTTCGATATTAAGTTGAATATGCTTACTGGAACTTTTCAACTGTGAATTTGAGCGAGACGGAAAGATTCTTGTAGCTATATTTCCTGTGAGAGCTATATTTCGTGTGAGAGGTTTGACAGAGAGAGGTAGAAGTTCATGACACACCAACCTGCGATACTTTCATTCTGAAGAAATGAAGAGAGGATGAAAATGACGAGTAATAGATTTATCCCTCTCCACGATTCCATTTCCACTTGTTCGGGTGATACTAATGCTGAGGGTAAAATATGTGACTGGCTGATACAAGAACCTCAATTCCTGGCTTTGCTGTCTTCTGAGCTGCTCATCCGTCAACAACGCCCGTTGGGTTTTGTTCAGTTCTGAGCGTGTAGAGGCAATGTAAGGCTTAGTGAAACGTGAGCCTCTTCTGAGCTTGTAATTAGTTTAAAACCGGTTGCGTGTTTATAACTGTAACTTGAGATGTTTTAAAAACTGCGCCAGTCGCAGGCGCTTTTCAGTTGAAATTGCGAGGATTCACTGCGGTAGAGTGATCGTGAGCATTTAATGAACAGGTGACTTCCTTTCACTCCAAGGTAGTGTATTTTCAATTTCAATGATCCATCACATGTGACAGCTGTTGCCAAGTTTTAATTTTTATCTATTATGATGAAACGTCATGTTTCCGGTTTGTTTACATTTTTTTCCTGTTCGAGCACAAATCTGCCTCATGCTGCTGGAAGCACGCCTTAGTTTGAATAATGCTCCATCTGCATGATTAGAACAATTTAACTGTGAGGGGAAATTACGCGTATTAGGTGGCTTATCCAACAAATGTGAACAATGGTCTCCTGTCAGGAGTTGCGCTTTCGCTCGATTTCTCTACTGGCACAGTGCGAGGCATATCTTTTTTCCATCTTTGAGAGGTTTGCGCGTTTCTCATCTATTTTCCTTCTTAATTTGCAAGTCGATATTTAGGCAACGTCATTCACGCTTTCTTTTGGTGTCCTCACTTTAGTAAATCGTTTCTTTTTTTTTTCTTTTTTTCACTTGTGATTATAATAATAATATGTGACGTGGAAACTTCGGAAAATGAAAATTCTTGATAGATTGAACCTCTCCAAGAAAGTCGCGTTCTTTGGCGTAACGACGCAGATTAGCCATAGGACTTTGAAAAAAGACAACAAAAAAACAACATAAAAAGAATCAAAGATTATGTTGTTAGCAAGGGGTTTTCTCTATGGCAGACAAGGTCAGTAGAGGGACAGGGAAAAGGCCCAATTTCTGTTTCCGTCCACTCCATTTCTTTTGCTTTCTCACCAGCTCGGCTGCTTCATACCCAGTCCCACCAGAGTCGAGAGCATGTGTTATCCTTGTTGTTGTCTATTCATACTGGTTTACTTGTTTGTATTAGGTATGTCAAATTTTTTGGTGAAGTTAAACACTGTGGTTTGAAATTTTCAACAAGTTTTTGGAATTTCTTCTGCCCAGTATAACTGCTTTGATCACCATGGTTGACGTTTTGTATGTTTGGCGCGTCAAAATACTGTCAGTGCATTCATAAAAGACGAATGCTTTTAACATCGACAAAAGGCAATAATAGATTGTACCCCGATAATCGGTATGATTTGCGAGGAAACCGTTTTATTGCTATCGATATTTCTTGCGGAAGGTGAAGAACTGTTCAGGTGTCCGTTACTTTATTTGTGGCGAAGTCAACGGCAGTATCTCATCTGGCTTTGAATCATAGAAATGTATTTGTCTCACGCTTGTTCTAACTGTTTTTTAAATATATTTTCCTCCTCAACAACTGAGGTCAAAATTCTAACAAAACGCTTTCGACATTTGACCGATCCAAGCGACATACAGGACCCTTATCACACCTAAAC